TTCCAATCATTGTTAAAACTACTAATAATAACTGCTACTAATAATTACAGCGTGCCAAACCTGCCCCGGGAGGGAGGTTGGAGCAATTACACACCCAGTCAGTCAGCGAGTCCACCAGGCTGTTTGACAGCCTCTAAAATACAGAATTAGTCAAAGAAATTACCAGCACGAGGCCACTCAGTCAGCTCGTCTGTCAGGAAATCCCTGAAGTTACTGTAGGGTTAGTCATAATCTGGACAGATTAAACGCCAATTAAAACTGCATTAAGTGATTGAGAGCCCGAGAAGACAGATGTCTCCCAGAAACATTGCTCTGATATATGATCGGCTTCTAGGGCTTCAGAAAGTTGGGTGACGTGACAGAAAACCGTCTAAAAAAATGTGTTGAATCTTGTACAAGCTGGAGTCTCACACAGCTGGCCCGTCTGAGTCACAGACTGGATATAAAAGTGGACAAAGTCACCGTGACGTCGCCATTGGTCCGTCGTTTTGAAGCCGTGACTTGGGCAGAGTCGCCATCTTGGATTTTTGGGGCCAGAGGTGACCATATTTGGACGGGAGGGTGGAGCTGGATGAAGAGTGAGGCCCAGCGGGGGGGCAAGAACCAATGGAATAACAAACGCTGTGTTAGGAACTAACACTAGCGATAGCTAGCTTGGTTATGAAGGAGCATCCGTAGTTCAAACTAACTGTGATATTAAGTGGGATGATTTTTTTGGCTGACGAAAACCAGACTTGTTTGTAAAGTAACAGCCAAATACTTAGTGTCTTGTAGTACTTTGACCACCGAAAAACGCTGTGATAGCGATGCTGAAAAGTGGCCACGCCCTTAATTATCCATTATTTTAAGCTTTTTATTTTTCAGCCCCGGAGGTTTCTGCTTGGTCCGAGTTTTAGAAAGCAAGTTCGTAAGAAAAATAAGGACTCATCCACACTGTAAGCTGAAACAAAACAATACATTAAGCTTCAAGCTTCTATAAAGAAGTATGTAAAGTCTGGCTAAGAATAGCTGTGGAGCTAAACCTTTATCACTCAGTCGTGATCTTTTAATTTGCTCCGTTTCAGAGACATGTCTGATTCCGACGGAGAGAAGAGTCCAGAAGCACTCTGCAATTAATCTTTGTAACTACTTTGTAGCTCTCACGTGCATTAACACAAACAGCAGGACTTAAAGAGCCATTATAATCAGAATATTGAATGTGGAAAACACACAAACACACACACACTTTGTACTGAACACTGTGCACAAAATGAACCTTGGCAGTGACTCAGGAGAATTTAATTACTTCCTCTCCCTCTCCCCATTGGCCGAGAGGTCTGGGATATGCTAATTAAGCCTTGACTGATAAAAACGTTCCCTTGGCCTCTGTGTCTCATTACTACTAACTTCTCTGATTGCAGCCTAGTCCTGCACCCACAGTGTCTGATAAATAATAAAAAGCACCTTAAGCCACAAGCTGTGACTAAATGCTTATTAATCGGAGGGATGTGACCTAGCAATGTGATGGCACGACGACAAGGAAACTACAAAAAACTTTGCGCCGCAATCAGTGTACCTTATCTTCTCTTTCTAATTGATAATTAGTCTTGCATTAATTTAGGGGCCAGCATCTATCTCTTATCACAAAGGTACAATTTATCAGCAGCTTAAATGATGGACTAAATTGGGTTGGCAATGTTAATGATTCACCTTGCAGGGAATGGGGGACATGAGGGAAATAATTTCTCCTGACTCATATTTAATTAACCTTAGCAGATGTGCTGGCATGCATTGTGGCTTCAACAAAAAAAGAGACATGTTTGAAACATTTAAAGGATGACATCGTCTGGCAAATCCTGTTTAAAAATGAATATTTAATGTAAAAAAAGATGTTATATACATAAATATATAGGAGAACAATAGTAGAAAACATTGTTATTGTTACATTATATAAATGATTCGTTTATGGATACAATCAGTTTAATATAAAATTGTTATACTTCTAAGGCAGAGAGGTGGTTTAGTCGGCTCCTTCATACACTAATGTCTTCACAGGGAGAACCAGGACTCTGTTAATAGAAGACCGCTTAGTACCTTCAGCTTGTGCAACTCATACCGTCCTGCCAAAAACCAGAGAGCCATACATTCACATTGTTTGATGTGTTATAACCACGCTACTCAAACTGACAAAATGTATTTTCTTTTCCCCACATTCTCAGAAAAACAAGTAGAAAATTGCTTGTATTTGTTAATTATTTGTCTGCAGATTGTATTTATACAAAACGGAGGAAAAACTACATGGACTGAATTTGAGGAACGAAGTGATATGTAGCATGGTAACAATGGTCAAACACGCTGTGGCGCTGGTAAACACAACCAAACAACACTAATTATCATTAAAAAGAATTACATAAAACATACATTTGAAGAAGTAACATACATGTGGATTGCGTACCAGCATCAGAGGAGTAAAAATAATTCACCTTCATGTCATCTCAGCAGACACTCACTCAGCATTCAGATGCAGTTCTGCATTCTGTCTTATAGAGGTGCAATACATTTTTGGAAATATGACACCAAAATCGTCCGTGTGACTCCAGCAGATCCTTTTCTTTGGTGCTCCATTACGCACTTGTACCGGAGGACATAGGCAGCTACAATTATAAAACAATTATTTTGCTGATGAGCGTGAGGTTTCAGATTTTAGAAGAAATGCTAATTTTTACATCATTATTCTCCTTTTCATTGAAAACACATTCACGTTTTATTAAGTCTGTGGAACATGATGTGTAGGGCCAAGACATCTCTGCAGCACGGCAATATTTCATTATTAAAAAAGATATTTCAACACACATTTCACCGTTAACAAATATGGCGCATCTAGTGATTTGAAAATCGAAAATTTGGATTAATTGTGTGTCACCGTCCTGCTGTCTGCTGCAGGACGCAAAAAAGCGAATGATCTAAAGGGGCCTCTGAGCTACTGTGGTGTCACTCCTCTACACTCGACCAGCAGGTCCAACTGCGCTATTATTATTGTACTTTCAGTCATACCTGCACACTTTTATCTGGGAGTTTGATACCGATGCTGACAAAAGCATGAAAAAGACACACATTTGTAAGAAACTCCAAAAGTCACTCCATTCATTCACTCCTGTAACCCTCCTCCTGCTGCAGAACAGCCAGCGACGAGCTTTCATTCGTTCCTCTGCTCTGTTCTTTGAAAACTCTCTGAATCAAACCACTGTGAACCACACATGCTCTGGCCTGGCTCTGCATGTGTTCTTCCACCTCCCTCCATGTTTACTGACTAGTCTATTACTTCTCTCTCCCCTCTACGTCCTTTTGCTTCATTCTTCCTTCCTTATCCATTTTCTTTTCTCCTTTCTCTGTTTTTTCTAAATTCTTTAAACCTCCTTCTTTCCTTATTCCGATCAGGATCCATGTCTGTCAAACACACAAGCAAATTAAATGGTTTTGAGTCTGCATGGGCTTCAGTCAAATGACTTCATTATTGCTTTAACATCAGCGGGATTTCATTCTCTGTCACATTAACATCCCACATCACCTCATCCTGAAGTGTCATTTTAAACATTTAATCTCCATTGAAAGGAATACTGCTGTGCTTTGTGGAGTGAAACACAGAAATGTAGGACGCTGGACTGTGACCCTTAATTGATGGTTTAGTAAGTAGCTAAATGGATCCGCACTGAGAAGAGCTCTCTGAAGCTCAATTCAAGGTTTCAACGGGACTTGTGTGAGCCCTTCAGTATACGGTGACGCCTACACCACCAGGTCACGGAGATGTCCCATGAACATCCATCGCGTCCTACAGTACATACAAAAGGTCTGCGAATGGTCAGCTAAACAACTGCACTGTCTGCCTGGTTTACAGTACGGACGTCTCCAAGGCATAAACATTTGGGTACAAAAGCAGGGCGGGCTGCGGGCCGGATCACACACTCCCACCGACCGAGGGTGTGTGTTCAGGTGCGGCTCTGTGCGTAGTATTGAAAGAGAGCGGAGATGTCTCAGCCTGCTTGCTTTTCAAAGGGTGATATTAGCACTCTGATGGAAGTTTGAAAGATGTGGTAGTCAGCTAATTTTCTTTAAAGCAGTGGATTATCTATGAATTGGATGTTTGATGGAAAAACAAGTAGTGAGCAAAAACTCCAGTCAGGCTGGATCGATGAAATAAACACAGGTTGTACCGTGGATTAAGTACTGATGACTGTGTGATGTAATATAAGAGCGTCACACACATTCAAGTAGAAGTCCCTTTGAATACATTTGACTATTCAATGACAAACCTTTAAATCTGAGATTGAGGACTTCTACAGCTGTGATCTAAGTGGTTATCACGGGATGATCCTAAAGCAGGAACACGGTCAATCAGGAATGCTGTAAACAGCTCAGACTATACATGAACTAAAGTCTCTCATCCCTACTGAGAGAAACATTTCACTTATTATTACAAGTGAAGCTAATAGTGCTCTACTGTGCTTTATTCAGACGTTTCCATATTTAGTTGAATAAACAATACTGTACGTGATATATTAGACTAGTCCCAAGTAAAGACATCTGTACTTTCATAAAGATTGCTCGAGTGGCTTTCTCCCTGTTTTGCATGTCGAGATAATACTGTCGGTCTCAAAATGCACTTCATTTAATACTGTAACTGTCATCCACAATTTGAAATGCAATGTTGTAAATTAATCTTAATCTGACTGAGAGGATATATCTTTAGTTGTAGAGTTATGATGATTTCATCTTGTTTGTTTCAGCAGCCGTTACTAACAAGAGCAAAGGAGGATTTCTAAAGACTCGTTTTTTGCTATTCACACATTTTCCATCATCTTCTAAACCTCAACTCACGCTCACTAAATGCCTCACAATCACTTTTTTGTAAATACGAACTGATTCAGTCTCGAGAATAAATTTGGCTTCATCGCACGAAATGACATTTAATTCTGTGAATGGCGACACAAGACCACAACGAGAACTTGTTTGTGGAGCTGCAGCAGTAAAACCAGGTACAACATGAGTGTGTAGAGCCTTAATTTAAATAGATCTAATTATCTTTGTGGCTCTTCTTGAAAGAGACGACTTAATCAGAGCACAGTGACAAGTAAAACCCCTGCTAATTTTATACTGCGGGAAGACTCAAAGCAATTTAAATGACTTCAAACAACAAGACATTATGCCTCACGCCGGCCACTCTGGAATTAACCTCCTTTACCTTGCTTGTCTGTGTATTACCATATACTTCAAACAGTGCAGACAGTGTTTGATGGTGATTCAAATCGCAGCATTAAGAGGTTTCAACTCTATTTCATTGGAGTACCGCGAGCAGAAGAGCTGCACAACACAGAGCAGTTCGCATTCGGCTCGTTTTCATCTCTGGACCGGGTTCGTCTACACGGCTGCAGTCATGGCATTCTTCTGTCTTGGGTTGGTTTGGTGTTGCTGTTGCTGTCGCCCTCCCTCCCCAGTATAGACGTACTGGTCTGGACTGGGATCCACCAGGTGCCTGTAACCAATCAAACATGTTCTCAGGGCATAGTGAGGTTTTGTGGTCTCACTTAAAATGTACTGATGCTGTTTCTCTCCTACTCGTACATCTGGAAACCCTCGTCAGGTGTTACAATTGATGAACTGAGTCATTGGTGAAATCGAATCGCCCCTACCTGTAACCTCCACCCGCGGTTCCACGCGTCATAGTGTCGTACCGTAGTCCACGAAGCGGAGGGGTAGGAGACGGGGGAACGTCCTGCCGCAAGGGGCCTCTCTGCTGGGAGCTAGGAGTAGAAAACAACAAGTCCACCATTATCATACGAGCACTACTGTGAGGACAGGAGTTGAGAAGTCAGACTACTCCGTTTAAACTCTGCGTACAGCATCGTGGATCATGTGACATAAAGCAACTTCCATGCCTTTAATTACCTTGGGTGGGGATAGTACCCGGGGTCGACGCCCCGAGGGTCTCCTGGCCGTGCGTATGGTGGACCGGGTGGGTAGCCGGGGTAAGACGGGGCAGACTGGGGGATGGGGTTCGGGTAGGAGGGGGACTGAGGGTACCCCTGTGGGGCCTGGGGCGGTCCGGGGTAATGGCCTGACCAGGGCTGCATGGAGTAGTCAGTCGCATCCAAAGGACCTCGTCTGGAAGAGGAAATGGCACCATTTTGAAACAGATGATGGCATAAGAAAACAAAGCTTACACAATAAAAACTAGCTGTATTTGGCATTGCAACAAGCAGAAACAGTTGCATGTCAGTCCAGGTCCATTCACTCCCTTAACCACAGTTTCCCAAGGCTGAACTTTGTTGTGTTGATGGTCATATTAATATCATTTTGATGCATTGGCAACACTACATGAATGCAGTTGTGACCTCTCGTTCTGTCTGAAATCACTCACAATAAAACAAATCGTCAAACAAATGCTGCCACTGAGAACACCATGCTTCACTTTGTGTTTGTGATGTTCTTTTCATGTATTTGAATTAGAACTAAAGAATACTGCTGCTGCAGTTTTTGCCAGTTTCTCTGTTGACTAAATGGCTTCAATATTCATGAAAACCTGCTGAAAACTATTTGTTTTGGACCAGAGAGAGGGAAAGAGAGAGAGAGGGAAAGAGAGAGAGGGACAGAGGGAAAGAGAGAGAGGGAAAGAGAGAGAGGGACAGAGGGAAAGGGGGAGAGAGGGAGAGAGAAAGACGCACAACGGGCCATCTCAGCCAAAGATCACATAGCAACAGAATATAAGTGACATGTGACAGTTTTAAGAAGGATAGGGCTCAGTTAACACACACACACACACACACACACACACACACACACACACACACACA